AAATAAATAAATAAATAAATAAATAAATAAATAAATAAATAAATAAATAAATAAATAAAAAAATAAATAACAAAATAAATAAGTAAATAAATAAATAAATAAATAAATTTTACTTTATTAGTTAAACACAATAAAAAAAGAAACTTTAAGCACCCCATTTAACTGTTTATCACATTTCATATTTAATCCCACAATCAAACGTTATTGTATCAATAGCAAATTGTTGAGCTTTCAATGCAATCATGTTATAACAGTTTTACGAAATTTTCAGTTGCGTTAAGTGTTATAATTAACGGTTACATTGAATGAGAAATTATCTCATTGCGCTCGATTGCATTGCAATTCATTTGGTTTTACTTATTTTCCGCTGAGGTAAAAGTAAAAATTGTAGTCCATTTGCGGTGAACACTTGAAGCTGTTTATTTATATTTGTTTGCTTATTTATCACAATAATACGCCATGGCAACCACCCACAAAACGAGCCCAATTCAACCCAGTCACCCGGAGCCAACCCCAAGCCACAACTCAATTTGCTTGAAGCGTCCAGCGAGCGACGGCCAACAGCTGTTTTTATTTGCCGTATAACAGCTGTATAACAGTGAGAGCGTGGGAGAGCCACAAATAGTAAACAACAAACACAAACCGGCTGTTGTTGTTGCTGCTGCTGCTGCTGCTGTTGCACTCTGTTTCACTTCCGTTAAAGAGAGCGTGCGAGCGTGAGAGCGTAAGCGTGAGAGTGTGAGAGAGTGGGAGCGCATACGAATGCAAAGAGAGCGCGTATGGGCTAATTACTGTTGCTTTGCTGCAATTTCTGCTACCTTTTTGTGTGAGGCGCGCATCTACTACTATTTTGAACAGCTGCTGCTGTTGCTGCTCTTTCTGTTAAGTACAAATATTTTTTGGCAAACGGAAGCAAACACAGAGAGAGAGAGAGAGAGAGCGCGCTGGAACGAGAGGGAGACAGATGAGACGAGTTAAAAAACCGACTCGGTCGACTTTGGCTTCGGGCCGACAACAACGCGAACAAGAAAAAACAAACCAGTTAACTGCTTTGGCTTTGGCTTTTGCGTTGGCGTTGGCAGCGACAGCGACAGCGACAGCAGCAGCAACGGCATTGGCAGCAGCGGCATCGGCTCGAACTCTTTTGGCCAGCTTGGTTTCAGTTGAGCTTTGCCAGCCAAAACGACAACAACGAACACGACGCTGCGTTTGGGTGCAACACGAGTTGAGCTCTGAGACTCCCGATTTTTTGACGAGTCTACGCGTCGCGTACAACTGAACAACAGCTAAATAAACAAACAACAAATACAACAAAATTACAAAAAGAGATAAAAGAAAATCTTAACAAAATAAAAGAAGAAGAAGAATAAAAATAAAATAAAAGTAAAAACAAATCGAAGACAAATATAAACATAAATAGCAAAACGGTAAATTTTGTTGCAAAAAACAACAATAACAACAACAACAACAGAAAAACTTGCTAATTAAGCAGCAAAAGCGCAGCGCCCAAACCCCCCCAACAAACACAGCAGAAACCAGTTTTTAGCAATTAAAATGAAAGAAAAAAGATATATAAGAATATATAAATATATATATTAAAGCAGCCTATAGATATGTAGCTCTATGTATATGCATGTATATATGTATGTATATATATTTGTATATTGCATTAAACTTAAACAAAAGGGCAGCTCGTGCTTGACAAAAACAAAACTGCAAGTGTATAAGTACTTGAGTGTGCTCATGTGTGTGTGTGTGTGTGTGTGTTTGCTGCCTTCTAAACAGCCTTGAAAGCTGCCTCGCATCAGCCTTTGCTGCACTGTCAACCGAGTAGCAGCAGCAGCCAACAACAAAGCGTTCCACAAGTCACAACAAAAGCAACAGAGGCAGCAACAACAGCAGCAGCAACAGCAACAGCGGCAGTGGCAACAGCCCAAGCAGCTAAAGAGATGTTGCTAGGAAGAAGACGAAGCGCAGCTGACTTTATGACGTCGCCAGCTTGGCGTGTTAACCTGGCCAAGAGGCAGAGCCAACAAAGCTGGCAGCAACAGCAAACAGCGAACAGCAACAGCTACCTGGCTAGACATGAAACCTGGTGTTGTGTCTATCTGTTGCTGGTTTGCTTGCAACTGCAACACACACACACACACGCACACATACACACTAAAAAGGGCAGCGAACAAAAAAATAAAAATAAAATGCGAAATTCGCTTTTGTTTTGTTTTTTTTTTTTTAGTTTTTTATGAGTTTTTCATAAATTCTGCAACAGTTGCAAAAAAAAAAAAAGTAAAACAAATAAAAGCAAAAGAAAATAGCTAAAAGGCGCGCAAAATTTCTACAGACACATGTATGGGTGCGAGTGTGCGTGTGTGTGTGTGTGGAAAAACCGGTTGCACTTGAGCTTTTTTTTTTATTTTATTTGATTTTTTAGCGCTTGGCTGTGGCGAAAATAAATAAAAGCGATTAACTTGAGACAGTTTTAGTGGCCAGACCCCCAAATGCAGCCGCTGGCCGGCAGCTCTTTTATGGCTAGTTTTTTCCTCTCGGTTTTCGGCTAGCTTTTTGCATATTTGCAACATAAATCTGCAGTGCATAAAGTCCCTAGCTATATAAATTACATACATATATATATATATATATATATTTAGAGTTATTCCAACAATTGTGTTGGCATCTCTTTTGTTTGGCTGTTTTTATGCATTTAGCTTCTTTTATTTGTTTTGAGCATTTCCCTTTTGTTTTTGTTTGAATTTCATAATTTCATTATTTCATTTATTGCTTTGAAGCGTTTTTTTGTGTGAACCGTTTGAACTGTGCTGAAAAAATTACATGCATATAAACAAATTAAATAAAAACTGCAAATTTTTGCAGTGAAAATGTATAAAATGTTGTATAAAAATTTTCATTTACAATTTGTTATTTTGTGTCATTTTTGATTTGTGGAACTTTTTTGCATTATTAATTGTTATTTATGACAGCCGCTGAGGGCACAGCCGCCAAAGGCAAAACAAAAACAACAAAATAAAAATATTATAAATAAATAAGAGAGCAAAAGCATAAAAAAGATAAACACAATCAAAAACGAAATCAAAATCAAAATCAGAAATCCAACGAAAATTCCAACAAGACATTGGACAGGTGTCAGCCAGAGCAAAAGCGGATTTTCATTAATCAAAAGGTGAGCAACAACATTTGATTTAGTCGTGCTAGCTCGATCTGGTTTAACATAAGGCAGGGAGCGAGGGGTCAGTTTGTGTTGGGTCAGCAAAGAAGGGCGTCTGAGTGGCGCAATTAGTAAATAAAAAAAAAAACTATGCAGGCAATTTGCAATATTTGTGCTCATTTCTAATTGCATTACGAAGTGCATCATTAATTGAATGCATTTGCTAAAACGACTTGAAAGGGCTGTGGAATCAATGAAATTTATTTCAATTCCCAAATTGCTAAACAAGAAGGGCAAGAAATTCAGGGAATTTCTGAGAGTTTTTATATTGAGAGGAAAAGTAACTGATATTAAATAAAATTTTATATAATTCCTTAATTAAATTAAATAAGATATATACATATATAGATATAATAAATTTAATTTTATATACATGATTATTTTTTGCAAATGATTCCTTATAATTATATTTATATGAATATATTAAAATAAAAAATTGAAATAAATTAAATAATATATATATATTCTTTTGTAATTAATTTCTTATATTTTTATGTATGAATATATAAAAATTAAATTAATTCATATATGTATATAATATATAATAAATGTATAATTTTTATAATTTTTGTTGTTGTATAAATTCAGGTATTTTTTTTTGCTGCAATAATTTAGTTTACAGATAACTTTTACACATATAAAAATAATTCAATCAATAATAAAAATAGACAAAATAATAATAAATAAAATTCATTAAAAAGGTCTACAGTAAAATTTGATAGATTATAAATAACCGTAAAAATATAAACATTACAGAGAATAATACAACATTCAGTTCTAAATTTGTAATACCGATAATTAACATAACTGACCAAAATTATTATTATTATTAAGAATTTTAGCGATGCGATAAGCAAATCATTTTCCTCCACACCTTTCATACTCTACCCTTAATTTCGATTACGCTCGGCATTACAACGCCCTAATTGAATTATCCCTAAACGAAAGCCTTCTACATTTAGCCCATTTTGTAATGCATGAATTACTCAAATGCCAACATTTTTGGCCAATTACGTCAATTGTTTCTGGGCCTCTGGGACTGACAAATATGAAGCCATGGCAAAGGCACAAGTGGCAAACTAATTAAATTAAATTGTTAAGCAGCTGAGGCTGAAAGTGCAACTGAAGCTCGAGCGTTTCGCAATTCAAAAACTTTCAATTAAAGCAAAAGCATTTGAATAATGCAAAATGCTAAATGCGCATACGCCGCGTGTGCCCAGCGGCACAGATAGATAGATAGCAAATTGCTGTCAATGATTCGCACACATTAACATGGCTAAATAGTACTAAACTAACGGTACGTGCTTTGAATTATTAAAACAAATCAATTAAAACAGAGAGGGTAAAAAAAAAAAACAAACAAAACAAAACAAAATATTTGACGCGAGCCATTCGACGATTCAACGAAATCAAAATTTTATCTGCATATCAGTAGTTATTGTTTATGTTTATATTTATGAGCACGCCCCCAGCCCGCTGCTCGCCCCCATTTTGGTGAATCTGCATAACAATAGACCCCCCCCCCCCCCCCCCCTAAAGCTACTTAAATGCTGCCATTTCGTAGTCAACAACATTTTAATTAAAAATCTTTTGCTAGGCTGCGTTTCTGGGCTTTGGGGACTGTGTGTTTAGGGGGGAGGGAGGGAGAGGGGCGCATGGTTGGAGGGTTTTCAGATTTTCGGTTTTCTGGTTTATGAATATTTGCACGTGTGTGCGCCAAGACCCGCGCCGTGCATTTGCCCTGCCACGCCCACACGCCCGCACGCCCACCAAACAGCCGGCGGGCAATAAATGTTAACAAGCATTCAAAAAATTTGCATAAAATGTGCGCGTCTCGTTTTCATACCGGTTCATAAAGTTGTAAAGGGAGTGTATTAGTTTTTGGTGGGGTGATGCGAATGGGAACGGGAATGTGTGCATTGCGGTGCATCTATGTGTCTGCTGGTTTCTCTCTCTATGTCCGCTCGACTGTGGCTTCTACTTCTATGTGCATGAACACAGAGTATTTTAACTGCTATTGCGGTTACTCTTTGAGGTATCATGCCAACTGCATTTCAAATGTCCAGTTAAATCTGGATTCCTTTTAAGTATATAAATTTATTCTAGATCTAGTTCTAGTTATGTTTTAGTGTTCTCCTGTATCAACGCGTCGATCTCAGTTCCTATAGGAGTTTGAGAATCAAAATTTGTTATATAGGACCTGTGAATAGCTAGAGTTTGTTTTAAAGAATTGGTAACTCATTCCTCTTCGCTATAGATACTATAGATATTATTATTAAACCTTGAATTATATGTATATCGAAAGTCTTTAGAACAAGACTCTCAAAAATTTTCTATAAATTTTCATATATATTTTATTCCATATTAATTTTTGTTATAGATATATTAATGAAAATCCTTAAACTAAATTTCAAAGCCTGTTTTATAGTTTTCTCCCCTGAGCGGGTATTAAGCAGTCGTGTTTACAACGTTGCCACTTTGCTAGATTATTGAGGTTTTGAAATTCAAAACCTAAAACGACTCAATTTTTGCATTTCTAATTTTTTGAATTTGTTTTTGCTACGCAATGAAAATGTTGTCTATACACACATACACATATAGCTGTATGTGTGTGTGTATGGCAATTAAATGGACAGCGAATTAATCACAAAATGTTCATAATAATTTTATGCAAAAATTTCGTTGGCGCAAAGCTGTCGCTAGTAAATGCGTGCGAAAATATTTTCGTAAAATTATGCAAATTTATTTCTAATTTATGTTAATTGAAAAACTTGACAAAAATAACATTTTGATTTGCTAGAAATGATAATGAAGATATATATACGTATCTATACTATATATAATACTATCTGTATGCTTTTTATTGATAGTTGCATTGTTGTCTAGCGAAGCGTTTAAATATATCTATTTTTTTTGTATATAATTTATTGCAGAGAGATTTGGCAAATTAAGCGAATTTTATTGTATTTACAAGGGAAATTACTAGGAGCGAGTGTAAATAATAATACATGTTAGTTGAACCAGATTTAGTACAGTTAATTAAGCTGTTCAGTTTGTAATTCTATTTAAATTGATTGTCAATTAAATATATGCTGAGGTTGCTAAATTGAGATAACTGTCATGGGTGTTAGAGGTGCCTCGAATGGGTGCTTTAATAGTGTTGACAAGTATATATTTATTCAATAAAAGAATATTAATTATAATAATAATATATATAGGTATGTGCGATTATACTGATAATAATGACAAATAGTACTCTAAGCACTGGCTTCAACTTCCTTTTCTGCTATTTGACTGAAGCCATCATCTTCTTTCTGTTGAACTGCCTTTCACTCTTGAACTGGACTTCAGCCCGCATTAGACTTCCAGCTGGACTCTTGTTATCTTCTCTATCTGCGTACTATCCTTTGTCTTTGCTCTTTTTTGTGCAACTGCCACTTGTTCCGCCGCAATGCCTTTTCACAGACCCTTTGCCAAACTTCTTTATCTTCTCACATTTGCTCTATTATAGATCTAGAGTTCTCTGTTGGTATCAGGTCAGTTCTTCCTGGTTGAAATAGATGAAAGTGTGTGCTGGAAATTGCATTTTAGTAGTAGATGCATTGTAGTTTAGGTACTTTGACCTATCTTATGTAGGCACTTTCGTAAGTAACCATAAGGAAGGATAATGTTAATGATGTTGACATTAATGTGTTAAATGATAATGATCATATTAAGAGGTCTATCATTACTTTACTTGTTTATATATTTTTTAGAGATTTTATTTCGAAATTGTTAAACTCTTCATGTCTCTTTATAAACGATGTTCTCTATCAGCCTCTCTGGCTCTTCGTATATCTAATATACACTATTATCATTCCTTCTGCCTTCATTATTTGTGAAGAAGAGGGGGAGTAGGGTTAAGAACTGCGTCCAAGACTCCACTCTCTATGCGCCTCTCTATGCGCTTCACACAGACTCCGCGAAAGCTTACCTTAATGAAGCAAGCGCCTATCGAAATTCTACCCAAAATGCAGTTGCCTCCCATATTATTTTTTCCACTTACTCGCGTTCACAAAGATTCAACGAACGCTTAACTTCACTTTTCTCTTTCTCTTTGTCCATAAGACAGTGAGCAATCATTGATGTAGTTACTCTGTAGCCTTGTAGCTCTCGCCTTTTCCCCATTCATATTCAAATGCTTTCCAGGTGCCCAGCACGCGGTCCGGCTGGGGCAGCCACAGTTATTTGCGTTTAATTGAACGAAAAAAGCTTATTTAACAATTGGGCGTCATGCGGTGAATTTTCCAATTGACTGACGTTCAATTGAATTCTGTGTGTGTGTGGGCGTGGCATTTACATTGAATTATGGCATCAATTGGAGTATCTTTCAATTTTGCTCTTCATTTTCAATCTCACATCTTTTTTCCTGTCTGTTAATTAATTCTGCATTAATTAAAACGAATATAAATCAACAAGCAGATTTGCATTCAATTTTTTTAGTTACATGCCATTGGATTCCATTTACTTTTCCAATTGCAAAACTCTCCAAAATGTTCATAAATCATTTGAGTTATTGTTGGGTTAATTAAAATGAAACAGTAAAAAAAAAACATACGAAAATAAAACTTTGTTGCTGGAAAATTGCGTAAATTACAAATTGAAGTTTTCGTGTGTGTGTGCGTCTGTGTGTGTTGCGAGTGTTAAATTGAAGTTAATTTTTAATTATGGCCACAGAACGCGCACGTTAAATTGCCTTTTAAAATTCAATTTACATTTGGGTTTCGCTCTTGCCGCACAGGTTCATCATTAATTTATGAGCCGAGAGGTGCCATGGAAGAGTTGCGTTAAGAATTCAACTAGAAGTGGGATTAGTAAGACGAATACGACTTAAATTGATGCATAATGAAAGGGTTTAAGTGAAAGTAGAGAGCTTACAGTTAGCATAGATTCAGCTAAATTATATTATTATTGAC